TTTCAGGGTTCAATAAATAAGGCAACAGAAACAGTTGTAGCACCACCAACAGCACAAAGCACTCAGGTATATTATTCATATTTGTCTGAGATTATTCATTTTACAAAATAATTCATAAAGCTTTGTGCATTTCAATTTATTTTTATATTTATGTCCTTGTTATTCATGGTTCAGGTTCAATTTCAATATATATGGAACCAACAAAAGCAACACAAGGCATTTAGACTCCATGTTGCACCACTCTACCTATAACAGGAATTAGGACATAATCTATTGTAAACATGACTTTTTGCACAGTGCTAACATAATTTTTTGCACAGGCTAAATTTCACACATAACACAGTTTTTTGGGTTATGCATGTATATGATATGGGGATACTTTTGGGTTATGCAAGTAATGATATGCAGTGGGGAATACCTTTTTGGTTATTTTGAAAGTTTTGTAATGAATTTGAATGAATATTTAAACTTAGCTTTATGTGGCAGTTGGTAATGGTATTCATGGGTTATTTTTTGACTTTTAATGTTTATGATATTTGATGGAATATATTTTGATCTGAAAAATGGTTATGATTTAGTTAAAGGCTGTATGCATGCTTTGATATTGTAGTTGTGTTGCAATTGCATTACTACATAGTGATTATAATAGAACATTAATTATTTTATTTAGATAGAAAGGCAGTGAACATTGTTAGGATAGCTACAATACAAATGCCCATGCTTGCATACACAATTGACCTTATCAAAGACATTAAACCATTTATAATGTCATTCCTGATTCCATTATTGACAATAACATCATTCACATTAGCAATAGCATCAGGTGCAAGTACATCCTCAGGGCTCAACCATCTAAAGTATGCGCATCTTCCATTATGACAATTGTAGAAGTGTCTTCCAGGATTTTTGTCCGAATGGGATACCCTCAATGCTACTCTTCTTCCACATGAACATATTTTAGTTCTGAACATTGGCAACACACACTTGATTGCCCCTGTTTACTTGAAAACACACATGTTATAGGTTAAAAAATATTGACAATTACATATTCAAAAATAAAATTTGTAATTACAGGTTAAAAACAAACATTTTTCAAAATATCTCCCTCAAATTTACATACATTTTTTTTTTTCACATTTATGATGTTCAAATCAGCAAACAATTACAAAGGAATTACTTGTAAAAAAAATTGTAATTACAGGTTACAAACAAAATTACAATTTCACAAAAAATTTCTTACCAAATGCACACCTTATTCCTTTCTTTGGAGCCTTTAAGCATGTAAGAAGTGCAAGCAGTCTGTAAGCAGTGTGTATTTATAGTGCAATACAACCAATGGCTACTTTTGGAGTCAATATTGCAACGGTAACTTTTTGAGCTACTTTTGGAGCCAATGCAACTTTTTGAGCCAAGAAATACTTTTGGAGCCAAGATATACAACGGCTGAAGAGGTGAGTTGATTTAAATGGCAAAGAAGGGTAAACATGTCATCTGAACAATCAAACTAAAGTCAAATGAGGGTAAATATGTCATTTTAATCATTAAATAAATAATTAAATAGGTCAAACCAAAGTCAAAGGCTAAGAATGTCTTTTTACATGTAAAAAGTGGTCTAACACACCTGTCAACTAACTTTTGGGGTGTGAGTGAAAAACGGAGGAAATGTTTATAATGTGAGTGATAGTTATGTTCGAAAGATGTTTGAGACTAAAGGGGTGTCAGTGAAATTATTTTTAATTTTTAATTCTTGATTCTGGCACTCTATTTTTTGTTCCCTTTCTAATTCCAACCATTGGGTTGTTCATAATATAATATGCCTTAACTAATTAATTCCTACTTTAGACACCTTCTTGTCTTATGCTATGTACATTTTGTTTAAGAGTTCAGATCAAGTGCTCGCTTAGGTGTGATTCTGGAACTTCATTGACTCTTCCTTTCTTTGATTTTAAATTTGAGTATGTGTCATTAACAAAAATAAAATATATAACACCAAAGAAGACCTAAAAAGTAAGATCAAGAGGTGTTTAATTAAAAGGCGAATTGTAAATAAAAAAAATAAAAAAATAAAAAAAAAACCTCGACTTTCACATGTTAGCAAAAAATTCCCTCAACTATGGCATTTTAAGTGTTATCTATTTAAAAGGTTATGTTTTGGACAATAATACTCTTTAAACAGTTACCCCCTTCAACAATTTTTTTTTTCTTCTACTTTCTCTCTCTAACCTCTCAATCTCTTCCATCCCACCATCGTCACCACACGCCACCCAATACCCATCACACTAACCCAAGATCATCCAAAGAACCTAACCCATCACCATCTCCACCTTCGGCAGACAACGACATCACCTCTCCCTAAAATAAATCACAATACAAAGAAGCAAAATTTGTACCTAGAACACATCAAACACATATAGAACAATTAATTAATCCACCTAATATAATATTCAAGAGTGATACAGAAATAGAGCTATGTATACATATAAGTTAAATGACAATATGTAGAGGGAAATTTTCCTACCAATCATATTACGCCACACGTTCACAAATTAAAAGCACCCATTTTTTGTATAACTAATCCAGAAGCTCAACAAAAAAAGACCAAGGCAGCCCACTCGACAGAACGCAACCCATTTGACAAGGCATGGCATCAACTGAATGCAAGCCAGGAGGTGGCATGAATAGAACATATTCTAGATTTTCATAACGCCCATAATGAAGGAGACGGTGTAAAACAAGGGACCATGAATTCCCACATTCAAAAACCGTCAGTAACAAGTCCATGTAAAGCTCTGTAAAAATATATAAATAGAGGGGCAATAAGAAGGGAAGATCATCGAATTCCAATTACATTTCTTCTGTTGTCAAACTTGTTTATATTCAGTCATATTTCTTGTTCATAATTTTCTGCATTCTTCTTAAGTGTTCAAGTGTAAAAATCTACACATACACTTTGGCACCATTTATGGGAAGCCTTTCCACTATCTCTTTCATGTGACACTGCTCAAAAATAGCGACGGGATCAGATACCGCTCAAGTATAATAGCAAGAAGTCATTCAGAAGATGCGCGAAGAGATGCAAACGCAGTTTGACATCTTTCGGCAAGTCAATGAGGCTAGTACCGAGCCGATCAATGCGTTGAAGCAAGCCAATGAAACCAATATATCACAAATCAACGCTCTGCGTCCGGAGAATGAAGGACTCTGGATCACTGTTCAACAGGTCGATCCGCCGATCGCCCCTCAACTAAAGCGCCCAAACAAGCCAGTGGATTCTCCCACAGCGACAAGACTTAATAACCCCCTCCACAGCGAGGGCTCATGGCAGTAGTTTAACGTCCAACATGAGACTTTGGACCAAACCGATGGCGAAAAGATAACAAGTCAATCTTATGTCATGGCGGATTCCAAGTTGGGAGGAATTAAACCCCTGACGCAATGAAGACACCAAAGCCCAAACAATTTTACCAGTACTAGACCATCTCCTTTGGGTTATATACAATTTTTAACATTGTTATTAAATCCTGATTACCCCTAGTTAACCCATCTTTCTAACTAATCTCAAAAGACATTTGTTTACTTAATTACTTGCGGACCCTTGGTCTTGACTTGGAGTCGAGATTTTAAAAGGCTTATTTACTCAGATTGTCCCTACCATGTCATGATTTTGCTATTCATGGGTCAGGCGTTTGACAATCTGGAAATGTTGAAGCCTTTGTCCGAATTATCCTATTCATCAATTGGTAGGTGTGGAGGGAAAAATCTCCCTCCAATAAGAGCAATCCACGTCATCATAAATATAACTTTATCTTCAATAAAGGTCAAAGCCCATCTCGTCAGAAGCCCAAGTTGAGTTGGTCATTAGCCCAAAACTACTGTTATCTAACTACGGGCTTTACTAAAGCTCGAATCAAGACACCAGCAGTCATGTGTACCAAGTTAGATGCGGCCCAGATCCATTTAAAGAAGGAGCCGGTCCTACAAGGAAAAGGATTCATCAAAGGAAGTAAGTTCTGTGTAAGGAAAATCCGAAAAGGGAAGAATTATAGAGAGGAAAGAATTTTATTTGTAAAGAAATTGATATATGGAAAGAATTAGAGGATAAGTAATGCGAGTCCTACCATAATTCTTCTAACTTTTGTATTTAAATAGAGGCCTAGACCTCCAATAAAGGGATCAAGCAATTCTACGCTTCTCTATATACTGTTCTTGTTTATTTTTTGAGTGAGTTGTTTTATTTCTCTTAATCATTATTGGTTGGGTGAAATTTTGCACCTACACTTTGGCACCGTTTGTGGGAATCGTGTGCAAATATATTCCCATTCTTGTTTTGTTTCACAAGTGAATCCTGCAGCTAACCATCCAGAATGTCAAACGGAGGATCTTCAGTAGATCAACAGATGGAGTTGATGCAAAAGATGCGTGAAGAGTTTCTGCACCAGTTTGACGTACTTTGTCAGGCAAATGAAGCAAGCGTGGCTCAGATCGCCTTGCTTCAACAACAGAATAACGCTCTGCAAACGACGCTGGCTCAGTTGGCACCACCGCCACCAGTGGGTGACACAGCAGCACCCCCTAGTCAGAATATTCCTCCGATTACTGGACTTCCGGCTGATGGGGTTCCACCTAATGGGGCACGACCCAATTTGGTTCAGCCGAATGAGGTTCAGCAGCAACGGAAGGCAAGATTCGAGGCTGCGGCTTCAGATAACGTCCCTCGTCGCACGCAGGATAAGCAAGTCGAATCCAGCCATAAGCTTACGGTGTGGTCCAATGGAATCCCAGTTGGTGCAGGTGTTCAGGATGCCTTTGACGAGAAGAGACTCCTGAAGATTCAGACACCTGCCGAGATGGCTAGAGAACACAAAAATTCTTTGATCAAAACTCCTTTTACTGACGATGTGTATCTGGTAGAGAGGCCCAAGAAATTCACCATGCCTTCTTTCATCCAGTTTGATGGAACAGGAGATCCTTTTTAGCACCTAGATCATTATGCTCAAAAGATGGCTTTGGATGATCGTAATGACCCTTGGATGTGCAGAGTTTTTCCTACCAGTTTGACAGGAGCAGCACTAGAGTGGTTCAGGAATAAACCGCATAAATCCACCCCGGATTACGTGACTTTATGCACTATGTTCCTGACACAGTATTGCGGAAATAAGAAGCAAAAGAAAAGCATTGCCAGCTCTTCACCGTAAGGCAGAAAAGGGGGGAAACATTGTAGGATTTCTTATCAAGATTCAACATGGAGGCATCAGAAATAGCAGATTGTCATCCCACAACTGCTATAGAGATATTTAAACTCGCAATGATTCAGGGGACAAAGTTCCACACTTCCCTAGTCAAGTATTCTCCTCCCGACATGTAGACTCTAAATGCTAGGGCCCAGATCTACATTCGGCTTGAGGAAAATATAGCCCACCGAGCGCAGCACACTACCCTTGTGACAGTGGAAAACAAGCCTCGAGAAAGAATCCCAACTCCAAAGATTCAAAAAAGCCAACGTTCCTCAACGCCAGTCACCCAGGCACCTGAAAAAAAGGCAAAGGGTAGAGGAAGGATTTACACCTCTCTGAACTACCTTGGCTCGGCTCTTCCAAGAGAATAAGACGAAGTTCAGAACTCCACAGCCAATAAAGTAACCCCTGGAGCAAAGGGACAAAAGCAAGCATTACGCTCATCATCGAGATTATGGGCATTCAACCAACGATTGCCGATCCCTCAGGCGACAGGTGGAGAATATGATCGCCAGAGGTGAGTTGACGGATTACCTCATGACAAAGGAGCATGCAAAACCCCACGAGATCTATCCCTGCAAGGTAGAAGGTACGCAAGTAAAAGTCATCCATGCAATACATGACAGGTCTGAAGATGATCAAGAGTCCGATGAGGTGTACAGATCCAGATTGAGGGTGACCCACAAGTTCAGGAAGATATCCTTGGTCAATGCTATCAATCCTGGTAGCATTAGTATTGGATTCGGAGATGGCAACCTATCCAGAGTGCAACTCCCCGACGAGGATCCATTGGTCATCAGTCTTTTAGTGGCCAAGTGTATGATCAGGAGGGTTTTGGTAGATCCAGGAAGTAGTGCTAACATAATCACAAAGACGGTCTTTGATCAGTTAGAGATCTCATCATCATCTATTCGACCTAACTCCAGCCCGTTGATGGGATTCGATGGCACAAGAGTAAATCCCCTTGGAGTAATAGACTTGTCCGTAACCACAGCGAAGAGGACTCTAAAGGAGAACTTTGTTTTAACAGAGATCCATCATTCTTACAATCTCATCATGGGAAGAGGCTGGATACATCGGATGAAAGGAGTTTCGTCCACCCTCCACTAGGTGATGCGGTGCTTATCTCCGGATAGGAAAGAAGTAATTAATCTGTGGGGTGATCAAGTCACAGTGAAGGAATGCTATATGCTGACACAGGTTGAGGCGAAGAGGATGTCGACTCAACAGCAACCAGGTGAGGCTTCCAAAACTGGACCCAAATAGCAATGACAAAGCCCTCTGCCCAAGTATCTTAAGGGAGAGGAGGAAGAGGAAATCGCGAAGCCCACCGAGGAGACCCTCGAAGTCGTGGAAGTTATCTTTGGCGACCCTCAGAAGGTTACTTATCTAGGCTCTTCTTCTAAGTCCGAAGAAAAGGAGGCATTAATTGATGTTATCCGGTGCAATGCAGATGCCTTTGCATGGGATCACTCGGACATGGTAGGGATCGATCCCACAGTTTCCTGTCATAGCTTGAAGGTGGATCCGGAGTTCAAACCGGTCAAGCAGAAACACCGAAGGTTTGCCCCTGAACGCAATCACATTATAGCTAAAGAAGTAAACAAATTGTTGCAAGCAGGTTTCATTCGAGAAGTATAATATCCTCAGTGGTTGTCGAATATGGTGTCGTACAAAAGAAGAATGGAAAGTGGAGGGTTTGTGTAGATTATACCAACCTCAACAAAGCCTGCCCTAAAGATAGCTACCCTCTGCCCAAGATAGACCAGATGGTTGATGCTACCACCGGCTACGAGAGGTTGACATTCCTAAATGCATACTCGGGATACAATCAGATTCCTATGGGCCCCGAAGATGAAGAAAAAATGGTTTTTATTACAGAAAAGGGGACTTATTGTTACAGGGTCATGCCCTTTGGACTGAAGAATGCTGGAGCTACTTATCAACGCCTTGTCAACAAGATATTTGATAATCTGCTGGGAAAGACAGTTAAAACATATATAGATGACATGGTGGTTAAAAGTGTGAAGAAAGAAGATCATCCGAAGCATCTTCAGGAAGTTTTCAATACTTTGAAGAAGTACAACATGAAGTTGAATCCATCCGAGTGCTCCTTCGCGGTATCATCAGGTCAATTCCTCAGCCACATAGTGAATAAAAGAGGGATAGAGGTAAGTCCGACTCAGGCTAAGGCCCTCATCCAGAATCAAGAACCAAAAAATCGCACGGAGGTGCAGGTTCTTACTAGTCGGATCGCAGCACTCAGCCGGTTTATATCCCGATTGTCAGATAAGTGCAAACCATTATTCGACGCTATACGATCCAAAAATAAAGATATATGGGGACCTCAGCAGCAGGAGGCCCTCAGTCAGTTAAAAGGTTATATGGCTAAACCACCGATTCTATCCGCTCCAAAACCCGGGGAGGTTCTTATTATGTATTTGGCAGTTTCTAATACATTGACAAGTGCAGCATTGATTAGAAAGGAAGGAAAGAGGCAATATCCAGTCTTCTACACAAGTAAGACCATGACAGATGCGGAGACGCGATATAGTAAAGCAGAAAAAGTCATCTTAGCTTTGATCTATGCCAAGAGGAAGCTTCGGCATTATTTTGAATCTCATAGCATTGTGATACTCACCAGCTATCCTATACGGGGTATACTCTCTAAGCCTGATTTATTGGGGAGAATTACTAAGTGGGCTATTGAGCTTAGTTCCTTCGACATAACTTATGAGCCAAAAGTGTCGCATAAAAGACAGACCGTAGCGGACTTCTTTCTCGAGTATGAAGATACTCCCGAAGAGCCGACATACCCTGAGCCACAATGGGAGCTTCAAGTCGATGGTTCCTTGAATCAAGCAAGTGCAGGAGTAGGCGTTGTAATGTCAACACCCGAAGGCACCAAGCTGCAGCAATCTATCTGTTTGAAGTTCCCAGCTACGAACAATGAGGCCGAATACGAGGCATTACTTGCTGGTCTTCGGTTGGCTAGCAGTCTATAGGTACGTTGCTTAAAGGTTTTTAGTGACTCACAGCTTGCTATAAATCAAGTGACAGGTCAGTACCATCCCAAAGAGGAAAGAATGAAAGTATATAAAGAAGCTGTAGAGAACGTTGCACGGGGATTCGATCAGATTGAATTCTATCAGGTACCTCGTATTGAGAATGCCGAAGCAGATCAATTGGCCACATCAGCGTCATCTTCAAATGAGGATCTGATTCGGATTGTGCCGATTGACGTTCTAGACGAGCCCAGCATTAATCCTTCGCAGGAAGTAATGGTGGTTCCAGTTATTCCTCGAGAACCATGCTGGATTGATCCATTGGAAGCTTACCTCAAGCATGGGGTTCTTCCAGACTAGAAATCCGAAGCACGGAAGCTCCGTATCACCGCAGCTAAATACGCCATCATTAACAATCAGTTATACCGAAAGTCATTTTCAGGTCCTTACCTGAAATGTTTAAGCCATACTGAGGCTCTTGTGGTGTTGAGACAAATCCATGACGGAGATTGTGGTAACCACTCTGGGGGCAGATCCCTCGCGCATAAAGTCCTGACTCAAGGTTAAATCTGCCGTACTTGTCCCGGAATGTAGAAGAGTATACACGGAGGTATGACAAATGTCAGCGTCACGGTCCCATGAAGCATCAACCTGCCGAAGATTTGCATGCAATGGCAAATCCATGGCCATTCGCACAATGGGGGATTGATATAGTGGGCCCGTTACCCAAGACTGTAGAACAAACGAAGTACATGCTACTGCCTACAGATTATTTCACTAAATGGGTAGAAGCCGAGGCCTACTCAAGTGTGACCCATGAGCAGGTAAAAAGTTTCCTTTGGAACAACATCATTTGCCGGTTTGGGGTCCCAAAAGTCATTATGATGGACAATGGTAAGAACCTCGATAATAGAAGTACAAGAAAATTCTTTGCTGAGCATGGAATTATACAAAAGTTAGCTGCGGTTAGTCATCCACAAGGGAATGGACAGGCTAAAATAACTAATCGGACAATTTTCAATTGTTTAAAGAAGAAATTGGAGAAATTCAAAATGAAATGGTACGAGAATCTCCCTCAGGTGCTTTAGGCGTACCGAACCACACCACGGCGGCCTACGGGAGAGAGTCCCTTTGCCATGGCTTATGGATCTGAAGCTGTGATCCCAACCGAAGTGACAGTTCCAACCTTTCGGATATTCTTATTGCTTGAAGGAAACAATAGTCAGCATCTCGAACATAGTCTCGATCTCCTGGATGAAAAAAGGGATACTGCAGTAATTAGGCTTGCTTCATATCAGCAACAGCTGCACAACAGTTATAATAAACGCGTCAGATTCAGGAGCGTTATGGTAGGCGATTGGGTTTTGAAGTAAGAAACAGCTCATGTAAAGAAACTAGAACCTAATTGGACCGGACCCTACAGGGTTACCGAAGTAGTAGGGAAAGGAGCATATCGTCTGGCCGAAGCTGATGGACGTCCCATTGCGCGTCCTTGGAACGCAATACACCTTAAAAGGTATTTCCATTAGATAATTTTGTCAATTTTGCTACAAATTCTTCACAAATAAGGCTGAGAATGTCCACAGTCAGCCAAACTTTTCTTTATTTTGCTTCTATCATATTCAGTACAATTCTACTCTGTTTATTTCTTTCCATAAAAATGGGGGCCATACTACTCTATGATTTTGCAACTTTTATGCATGCCAAGTCACACTATGCAATTTTTATGCAAAGCAATGTTAGAAGCAAGCTGTTAAAAAAGCATTCGTTACAATGATTTTTAAGAAAAACAAAAAACATGAGTTATGGCCTATGTTTAAAACTTTCTATCCCACATCGACAAAAAAGTACGTGTTACATTTCGTTATATATGGAAATATTCAAATAGTTAATTGCGGTGTAAGGAGGGCCCACTGGTATTTAAAGCTGTCAAGCTCAATACCAGAGGCATTCCTTACACCAACCTTTTTGACAAAATTTAGTCTATGTCCCACATTGGATAGAAATAGAAAAGAAATGCGATTAATATATGCATAGTCCACTACATTTGGTTGCCAAGAAAGGAGTATCAATGGAGGACGAAAGTCTCCAAAGTCAACAAATAGGAAACTTCACAGCCACTGTTACTTGCTTTCTTGGCCTCTTATCATTTTTGAATCCTCGGCCTCATGATAAGTTGTATGAGAAAAAATATAAACAAACATCCCCTTAGGCTCAACGCCGGGGAGTAATTCACTCGCCTCGAACCCTAAGTGTCCAGTTCGGCAAACAAACCTCCCCTCAGGTTCAGCGCCGGGGAGTAATTAATTCGCCTCGGACCCTAAGTGTCGGGCTCGGAAAAAATCTCACCTCGGACCCTAAGTGTCCGGTTAAGCAAATAAACCTCCCCTCAGGCTCAGCGCCGGGGAGTAATTCATTCGCCTCGGACCCTAAGTGTCTGGCTCAGCAAAAATCTCACCTCGGACCCTAAGTGTCTGGTTCGGCAAACAAACCTCCCCTCAGGCTCAGCGCCGGGGAGTAATTCATTTGCCTCAAACCCTAAGTGTCCGGCTCGGCAAAAATCTCTCCTCGGACCTTAAGCGTCCGACTTGGCAAAACCTCCCCTCAAGCTCAACGCCGGGGAGTAATTCACTGGCCTAGGACCCTAAGTGTCCGGTTCGGCAAACAAACCTCCCCTCAAGCTCAGCGCCGGGGAGTAGTTCATTCGCCTTAGACCCTAAGTGTCCGGCTCGGCAAAAATCTCGCCTCGGACCCTAAGTGTTCGCAGCGCCAGGGAGTAATTTATTCACCTCGGACACTAAGTGTGTTCGGAATAGAACAGATAAGGAACTCTCAGGTAGGGTACTTTCCTTAAAAATAATCTCATTTATGTGCAATATTAAAAGCATACTCAATTGAAGCAAAATAAAAATGACACAGCTTAAGAAACATGGATATATCATTCATTCCCAATGTTGCTTCATTACAAAAAAAAAAAAAAAAAAAAAAAAAAAAAAAAAAAAATTTACCTACTTCCTCTTCGGATTAAACGGGGTAGATTCAAAAGCATCTACTATAGCTGGACTTGCAGGTGGAGGATTTGATGGGCCAGTTGCAAGAGTAGAG